GTTGAAACACGATGAAATACTCTCTGAATTTGCAAGCATGAAAGTGCAGAAAAATACAGACTATAGGGCCCCCACACAATTGCGTGCCCCGGGCCCCCCACACGCTTAGTCCGGCCCTGACTACAGTACACCCATGAAAATATAAAATTACGCAGGCACACGTACACGCACATACCTGCACATCAGATATACTGCACAACGCACGCTCACTACAAATAACCCGAAGCACACTCACAACCCAGACAAATCTCACATGTAGTATACACAAGCATACACATATACATACATATGCACAAACCATGCAACCGGACATGCCATTTTGCACTCTTTACACATATACAGGCACTAATGCACAATTATACACACATGCAAACATATGCCATCCAAAAAACCATTTCTTCATCCCGCTCATCTACAAGTAATAGCAAAAATTCAACGATTTAAGGGAACTGAAAAAAATCAAATACATGTAGTTCTGTAATGATGATAAATTTATATTCTCTCAAAGCCGTCTTGCTGAGATTAACCACGTACAAACTTAAGCATATAAGATAAACTCACTCATATAGGCATTTGCTCATATCATAACATGTTTTTTAACTATATACATTGCTAGTGTCATGCATTAACAACATATTTTAAAAATTGGATCTTTTATACATCAACATAGACTTTTATTTCCCCGGTGCAATCGAACAACTGTTAGTGTCAAGAGCTGGAATCCCTTTATATCTCATCAATATAATTTTACTGTCCAAAATAGCTGGAATGTAATCTTGAACAGAACAAGAAACTATGTATCTTCATTTTCAACAAAAAGTCTAAATGTGTTTATTAAAACAAAATTTATGACATTACCCCCCTCCCAAAATATCACCATCACATGAAATTGGTGTGCCTCACAATGGTTGACATTCACAAATCTAAATCACTTTAATTTCTTTGCTAGCTTTCGCATAGCCATACTTTTACTACCAAGTTCTCCACCCTTCTTCATTCTTGCTGCTTCTTTCTGCACCTCGACATTTCTTTTCCTGCAGTAGAAATGCAGACGCGCATTAATAAATCTCACAAGCAGTTTCTGTGACATGCTGGCAGTTCAACTTCATCGGTGATTTCTATGGCCTTGTCAACTAGTCGTTGCTTGACGTTATCCCCTTCCATCAATGTGTCCTGAGAATTTCGAAACATGAGTTCAACCTGTAGGAACATGTCATATACTGCATCGGCAACATGTACAAGGGAACCTTCCTTGTATTTCTTCAATACAGTAAGTCCCGATGCATGATGTACTCCATCTTCTGGTCCTGCAATGACACTGGTTATGCACGTAGCACATGTTCTTTCATTTCGCTTGAATTTGTGAACGCAGTACCCTGCTAGGTAATACAGACTGTCAAGTTAAGCTTGTGAATTTGGTGAAATTTTTGAAAAGGGTAGGTCACACATTAAACTGGCGGATTTCTACACAATTACATTAATTTAACCCACACACACACACACACACACACACACACACACACACACACACACCAATATGTATAGATATCTACTATGGACAATGGACAGTCGTCTGCATTACTCAGTTGTAATCTACTTAGTAAATTTGGCCCAAGGATACAAGAGCTGTCCACATTTGCACATTTGTACATGTCGCATTATCTTATGTTATATGTTTATTCTTTTCAACAGAAAAATTAAACAGGGTGGGTTTTCTTTTCTTCATAAACAAAAATTAGCACAGACATATTCGTATACTATTACTGTATAGATCTACACTTCAAATTTCACACAATAATTAGATAGAATTAGAAGTCTATGACTCTAACACATGCTTCTTATGGAAACTGTTATTGTGCCCATTATAAAATTTATTAACATTTCAAATTTATTAATGATATTATAATTTTGATATGACTACACACACTGTACTTACTTCACACAGACGCGATGACGAGGTCGGTTTCCATCCTTCGCGACTGACTTTACTCACCCAAATTTTTCTCCTTTTGGGATCTGCAGGGAACCTATACGTTTTGTATCCCTGCTTTGATCTATTACTGCACCCAAAGGCGCAGCAACCAGTCATAATGACAATTTATTTTACGCACTAATAGCAGAAAAGTACGGAATACGCTCACGGAAAATGAAAAGCTGCTGCTTAGGTGGAACCAAAATGGCTCCTTGCGTCACGTGACCTGATTTTCGAGGGACGCTTATGTCGCAACTCTTAATATAAAGAGTCTCTAGTTCAGCCATGAGTGAGGACAGACACAAATCGAACCGTGTACAAATGTACTTCAGTGGTGCAGAGAAGCGAAAACGCGCAAAAGATAAGAAGGATGGCGAAAAAGTCGAAGTAAATAAGTCGAAAAAGTTCTATCGCTTTTTCCGCGTGTCAGTCATGTGGACGGCTCGTGTAGTTAACAGGCTAGCACATCGAAGGATGCGCAGTCAGATACTGGTGTGCTCATAACAACCGGAAGCGCAGACAAAGTGGGAGTAGCCAAAGAGCATGTAGATGCTGATATAACTGATGACCAACATGATGGATTTCAGAGCGACATCGGACGATGGCCGGTCCGGTCATCACAACAGATGGTCGAATACCGGGTCAACAGGGGTTCCAGTTCGCTTAGCAACATGAGTGGGCCGTTCGTTGCGTCGGTTAGAAGTGCGACCGGGCCCCAGGGTGAAGGTCACAGCGGCACTGTCAACCGATTTTGCACAAAGAGTTTTTTCGAGAGAACACTTTCCAATGGGGAAATAGTCCCAAGAAGTTGGTTGTGCTACTCTCTTTCAACCTGCCACGTGTACTGTTTTGCTTGCAAGCTTTCAAATAGCACTGGTAACTTGGCAACAGTCGGATACGGAGATTGGAAGCATGCCAGAAGCGATCTAGAGCAACACGAGAGATCCACATCACACTGCTAGAATGTGACTCAGCTGGCGAAACAAGCTTCTGCATCCTGTCGTATCGATAAAACTATGATCAGACATGCCAACGAAGTTGAATCGTACTGGTGCCAAGTTTTGAAACGATGTGTGAGCGTGATCAGCTTCCTGGATGAGCGCGTTCTTGCATTTCGCGAAACCGATGAAATCGTGAGTTCGCATAACAATGGAAATTACCTTGCTCTTATAGAACTGTTGGCACAATACGATTCTTTCTTAGCTCAGCACATCCAACAGCATGCCAATAAAGGTAATGGACACACAAATTACTTGTCCTCAACTACATGCGAGGAGCTTTTTGCGATGATGGAGTCAAGGAGGCAAAGTACTTTTCAGTTACGGTCGACTCGACTCCGGATGCCAGTCCCGTTGACCAGCTAACATGTGTGCTACGCTACATGGAAAATGAGACACCAGTTGAGCGTTTCGTGCACTTCTTCGATAACGCTGGACACACTGGGCAAGATCAGGCGAATTCTCTGTTGAGATTCCTCGAGGCTAACGGCATCGATATTGCTAACTGTAGAGGTCAGTCGTACGACAACGCTGCTAATATGAGTGGGAAATACCGCGGAATGCAAGCAATCATTCAGCAGATAAATCCTCTAGCAGTGTATGTTCCATGTACCGCACATTCACTAAACTTGGTGGGGCAAACGGCGGTCAGCAGTTGTCGTCCCGTGGTTTCATACTTCGGATTCGTGCAGGAGTTGTACAACTTCTTCACGAGCTCAAAATCACGGTTCGCTAATTTGATGGATAGAATAAAAAAGGATCACGCGTCCCGAAGAGCTTGAGTGACACGCGTTGGTCAGCTCATGCAGACGCAACAAAAGCTCTGAGAGAAGGTTACACAGAAATTCTAGATGTCCTTGACGGAATCTCCGAAGACGATAATCAAAAAGGTGACACGAGAAATACGGCTTCTTTCCTCTATAGGGTAATGAGTAAAATAGAGACAGGCTTCTACACTGTGTTATGGGACAGCATTCTCGACCGTTTCAACCGCACAAGTAAAAGCCTCCAAGGCAACAACACCGATCTCAACACTGCTGTAGCACTCTTGAAATCGCTCTCAACATTCGTGCATGGGTTACGTGATCACTTCGAGGATTTTGTCGTGGAAAGAGCGATTCGCTCTGGCTGCAACGACTTTTCCCGCAAGTCGCGCTGAAGAAAACGCAATGTTCGTTTGGAATCTCTGGGGAATTGAGACTGAATTGAGTCCAAGGGATGAATTCCGCGTTGCTGGATTCGTCGCAGTCCTAGACTTGCTACAAAGTGAACTCGATAAACGCTCAGACGCGTATGCTGAGATGAGTAAAAGGTTTGGATTATGAACGAAGATGAAATCCGATCGTCAGCTTGGAAGTTGATCAGGATATACGAGTCCGATCTCGGAGAGAGTCTATGTGACGAATTGATTCAATTCGTTGAATTCATGAAGGCCATCAGCAGCGAGAACTTCACTGAAGCCGACATGTATATGGCGATCATCGAAAATGATTTAAAGGACACTTTTCCTAATACCGAAATTGCTCTGAGAATCTATCTCTCATTGATGGTCTTGAATTGTAGAGGTGAAAGGTCATTTTCAAAACTTAAGTTGATTAAAAATCAAATGAGAACCACGATGAGCCAACAGAGACTGGTAAACCTTAGTATTCTCGCTATCGAAAGTGACATTTTAAATTTGTTGAAACACGATAAAATACTTTCTGAATTTGCAAGCATGAAAGTGCGGAAAAAATACAGACTACAGGGCCCCCAGACAATTGCGTGCCCAGGGCTTCCCAGACGCTTAGTCCGGCAATGGGTATGATCAGTCAAATAAATTAGCATAACAAAACTTGAAGGGATCGTTTACTCTAGGTTCTAGGGTTATTTTCAGTTAATTTAGGTTAAAATTACGCTACATAAAAAGTTTCATGGTTCAATCACCATTAGAAATATTATTAAAAAATGTTTTAAAACTAACGACTACAGTTTGATTAACGACGGTGGCGCCACTCAACGCGCACGATTTGATAAGTTGCGCAAAACCACTTTCCAGCCAAGGGCTACAGACCGAGGGTGTTTCTTATTTATTCATTCAAAACCAAAAGATTTGTAATATCTTATAAACGACATATAGTTTCAGTTATAATATGGCTAAATTGGCCCTAAAATGAATATCGTTCGGTTAAATAGCACTTAGGTATAAATATAATTGCACTTTTGTGATTAGCCCTCGGTCTATAACGTGCAAAATAAATTGTCAAATACGCAACTTTTTCGGGGTGGCAGCACGGGCGCGGGTCTAATGGCGCCGTTCAAATTTCGTAGCGCTGATGTGTAATTAATTATAACAATTAAATTAGGTATCTGGTAACAAATACATGTGGGTATAAACGATTTGTTATACAGTAAGTAGCCTACAGTTGTATGCAGTAAAATAGAGGCTATACAGTCCCTTTAATTTCAACAAACAATAACTCAAGAGCATCAAAAATAATAAGTAATTTATTACACTGATTTAACACTAGATTTAACACACTGACACATAAATATATAGTTATATATTTATATACATTTTATTTATATTTTATAACTATATATTTATGTGTCAGTGTGCAGCAGCTAGCGTGCGGCGGCCAGCGTGTGTTGCAGATAAGCATTTGGACGGCATTTACAGGAAATTGTAGGCAATAATTATAGGTGAACGAGAGTAGAGAAACATTAAGACTGGTAGTAAATAGATTTCGTATTTATTTATCATTATATTTTATTGAAACGCTCCAAGTGCCTGTAGTCTGCGGTAGCACGACAGCGCCGTCGTCATATCGTCTGCTTGTCTCCTAATCTGTATAATACAGTCGTCATGTTACGCTTGACTGCGTTCGCTACACTGACGCCTGTAAGCGAAGGCAGCCTAAACAGTTCGCAAGCCTCGTTATCGAATAAACGTAAAGCGAAGCTAAGCAGGCCTAGACTAGCACCCGTTTCCAACTTCACACATAGGCCTTGGTGTAGCGTGTGGAACTGTCGACCAGGTACCAGTCTAAAGCAGGCCGCAAATCCGCACCAGGCACATATTTATTATGGTGGTAATCTAGTTAATGGCTTTATCAGAAGCATGAATTTTTTACAGTTATAAATTATATTATTGTAATTATTATAAAACTAATATAGTCTATTATAAACTATTATAAATATAGTTATTGCAGTTGAAATGTATACGGAAATGGCGTCAAGCAAAGGACTGCTCGCTGATTGGCCGGTCTGGCTCAGTCAGCGGCCACCCACTTTCATATAGTAAGAGGTTAACGCTCTGGTGAGTAGGCCCTAGCGGCCGTTACGAGCAGGAGCGATAATCATTAACGTTACTTGTCTCCGCGCGCACGCGCGCATCTACGTCACAGCCTCTCGCAACGTTTCCGACGAAGCTGCACAAAACCTGCTATAAATAGACGTCGCTAGCGAAGCTTAGGATGCAGACGCCGCGGTCGCGCCAAGAAGCCAACACAACACTCTCATAAGAGATGTGTGCGTGCGTGCGTGCGTGCGTGTGGTGTGTGTGTGTGTGTGTGTGTGTGTGTGTGTGTGTGTGTGTGTGCGT